TTTATCTGTCACAAAACCACCAGCAGCACTGAATGTCCATTCAGAAAGCACGCTGGATGGGGGGCGCCCACTAGCTCCATTGCATATTGGGTATGTTCTGGCCAGTAATCCATTCTCAAGACCCTGTAAGCCAGTGTATGGTCTGCTGGAAAGCTCTATAGGTCTGCTCTTGCCCCTAGGTAATCCTGCACCATATGATGCAGACGGTGCCGATGGGTGCCTAAAGTTAACATCCCTGGGCGCTGAGGACTGAAAAAATCTCTAAAGGCATCAGTAAGGAGGCCCCCTTCTCCACCGCTCTTCCTTTGACCAACCGAAGCCTCAGAAGCACTGCTTTCATGACATAGTAACCTACCAGTGTCTGGAAAGGTGTTACATAAGTTTCTCTTCAACGCGTCCTCACGTTGTTTCATCCTGTGCTCCCTCTGTGAGGGCAGGATGAGCTCTGCAACTTTATGCTTGTAACTTGGATCAAGAAGGGTTACCAACCAGTAATGATCCCTCTCTTTGATACCACGAATCCTGGGGTCATTTTGCAGGCTGTGCAGAATAAGGGAGCCCATGCACTGTACATTTGAGGAGGCATGAGCATCAGAGTCTTCAGGGTCACTGAGCATGACACTATTGTGAACTACCCTCTCCCGGCCACATACTACTCCCAGAGGGTTTCTGGGGACAGAAAACCCTCTCTTGAGGACTGCCGTATGTCATCCTCTGCTTCAATGCCCCCATCGCTGCCATAATCCTCCTCCTCCTCTTGTGTGATCTGCGGCCCCGAAGGAATGGTTTCTGCATAAAGCGGGCCTTGAGAGGAAAGGAAGTCCTCCTTTTCCTCCCGCTGTTATGCCTCAAGTTCCCTATCCATAATTCCCCGCAGAGTATGCTCCAGCAAGAACACAAGAGGGATAGTGTCGCTGATGCATGCATTGTCACGGCTCACCATTCTTGTCGACTCCTCAAATGGTGACAGTACAGTGTATGCATCCTTAATCAGCAGCCACTGGCATGAAGAAAAAGAGCCAAGGTCGCCTGAGCCCCAATGGCCCTCTGCTACATGTGTAGCTGCTGCAGCATTGCCAAAGTGGAGTTCCACCTGGTGGGCATGTCACAAATCAGACGGTTTGTGGCCAGGTGGAATTCATGTTAAATTACAGCCAGACGAACACTGGCTGGGTATAAGCGCCTGAAATGGCTACAGACTTTTCTGGTCTGCCTCAGAAGATCTTGCAGCCCTGGGTACCTGGTTAACAAACTCTGTACCACCAAATTGAGGATGTGTGCCAAGCATGGTACATGTGTCAACTTTCCCAGGCACAGGGCGGAGAGAAGGTTGCTGCCATTGTCGCATACAACCATTTGTGGCTCAAGCTGCCATGGTGTTAACCACTTCTGGGCCTGCCCCTGCAGAGCTGACAGAACCTCTGTCCTGGTGTTCCTCCTGTCCCCTAGACAAACCAGCTCAAACACTGCATGGCATCATTTAGCCTGACCCCTTGCGTTGCCCCTTGAACGCTTAGGGAGAACTGCTGGTCCACAAGACAATTCAGCAGAAGAGGCCATCGTGAAGGACAAAGAGGAAGGGGTGGAGCAGACAGATCTCACATCATCAGCTTTTTGGAGGCGTGGTGGCTGAACAAGCTCCAGCACTGAGCCCCGTCCTGGATCCTTCCCAGCTGCAAGCAGAGTTTGCACCCAGTGTGCTGTGAAGGAAATATAACGTCCCTGACCATGCTTGCTGGACCACATGTCAGTGGTAATGTGGACCTTGCTGCTGACTGCCTTGTCCAACGAGTCCAAAACATTGCCTTCCACATGATGGTATAGAGCTGGAATGGCCTTACGTGAAAATAAATTGCGTTTGGGAACCTGCCACTCTGGTACAGCACATTCTGCAAACTCATGGAAGGGGGCAGAGTCTACCAGATGTAAAGGTAGCAGTTGTAAAGCTAGCAATTTGGCCAAGCTGGCATTTAGACGCTGAGCATGTGGATGGCTGGGACAGATTTGGCGGAAGAACCTGTGACACTCATTGCTATATCATCATCCTTCTCAGTGGAGGCTGTTGACATGACATAGCATTACGTATATTGAGGGTAGAGATGACAGATGAGGAGCGAGGAGAAGTGTGGACCCTTTTCTGGTGCCATTGCCAACGGGCTGCGTGGCAGGTGGTCAGATGTATCTTCAAGAACGTGGTACCCAAGTGGTTGATGTAATTGCTGCGCATCCTCCAGCAGCATGAGACTGACACTATGTTGAAACAATTCAGCTGACTCCTCTGTGCATGATGGTGGGTCTATGGCAGTAGTAGCTGTGGACAAGGAGGAAGAATAGGCCACTTTGGCAGCTGCGGTGGACTGAGAACTAGTATGAGCCTGAGTGACAGAGGATGAGGAGGATGAGGATGGCTTAGTTATCCAATCCACCACCTGTATGTTGTGGCTCAATAACACGGCCAGCACCAGATAAAAAGGACAAGCATGCCCTGCCTGCAGAGGATGGATCATGTCCACGACCACGACTTTTGCCTGTGGGCACAGAGGCTGTTTGCCCTCTGCGTGGGAGCGTCTGCCTCTCCTTGTTGGCCTTTCAGACATGATGCGGATTGCAATAGACTGCAATAGTCGACTGCTATAATCGACTGTTATAATTGACTACTATAATCGACTGTTATAATAAACTGCTATAAAAGACTGAAATAATATACAGCTATAATAGACTGCTATTGTACACTGATAGAACACTCTCTCTCTTTTTAAACTCCAGCAACACCTTACCTGTGGTCAGGTGCAGGGCTTTAGCCAATTAGGACTTCACAAGGCGCTCGTGGGGCGCTCGTGGGGCGCTCGGTGGGCAAACACACAAACTAGCTATGTTTGAGTTAAACTCACATTCGGCTCGAACATCAAGCCCAACTTTATAATTAATCACTCCAAGAAGAGGAGAGGGCCATTACATGCAAGGATGTAGGGGACTGTGCTAGTGAATTGACTCTTCCTGGAATAGTCACATTTTCTAGTAGGTTCGAAGCACATTGCAAGTAAGCATTTATAATAATTGATTCTTCTGTGCTTTTACCTGCAATTTTTCAAGTTGGTGAGAGGGACTCTTTAACCACTTCAAGAGTGGAGTGTTGTTTGGAGTGCTTGTCCAGGCCATTTTTCAGTATTCAGCACTACGGTACTTTGACTGACATCTATTACGTCATGCAAAGCTGTACTGAAATTAATTTTATACCATTTTTTTTAGACAGATAGAGCTTTCTTTTATTTCTTACTATTTATAAAAAAAATTACTGACAATTTTGGTGAAAAAAAATGTTTTCCCTACATTCAGTGAGTGAAGATTGACTTCTCCCTCTTCCCCTATATTTGGAGGTTTATAGCAAATACCCACGAGAAGTTTACGGCTAGCGTCCGTCATATCTAGCTCCAGCTAGATATTAAACATTTATTATAAGAACATTTTTGGGTAAAATATAAGAGACAGGGTCACACCGGGTAAATAGACACTAAACATGGCAAGCCTTAAAATTGCGTGTGGCTGCGAAATCGGAAAAAAACTACAATACCCAAACAAGCCATAGGCGACGCTTTAAAAGCTTTTACCGCTCCTCAGTTTAGTGTTAACAGTGATTGATGGCCCTAAAATTATTGCTCGCACTCCGTTTGCGGTGATATGTAACATGTCACAATCATCGATTTTGCACGTAGGCGCACCTGAGGTGACTTTAATTTTTTTAAACTTTTAACATCACATGACATAGGGGTGAATCATTATCAGCAGGATGAGGAGTGGCCTCAGTTTTCAGCAATAATAAACCAAAAAAAACCCCAAACACCTCAAAAATGTATAAATCACTGAACTTCGTTGAGTGACCTTATAGAAGTTCACCATAGTAAACTATGGTCATAGAGCATGAGGCATGGGCCAGGAGGGAGGGAAAGAAAATGAAAGAATACCAAAGTTTACATACTCTTTTATATAAATATAGAGACGCATATAGTATCTCCCTTCCCCCCTCAAGAATTTCACTTTTGCCGCCAAATCGGGATAACACCTACAGTATTTTATTACTGTTACATGTTCTCATTCACATAGCATGAGCTAAATATTTTAAAAATGCTTCTTGCAGTTTAATTTGCTTTTACTTGGGTTAGGGTTTCTTGACTCTTCTACTTTCTTTTCCTTCTTTGTAATGTTAGGAAGGGCAGTGCAGGGTGAGGGATTAAATGATTGAAATGTTGATGAAGTTAATATGAGAAACACAATCCTCAAATTTCAGTCCTGAGTCTTTCTATTTTAATTATTTATTTATTTGTATTTATTTATTTATTTTGGTGTGCTATGTGAATAGGAACACATAATAAACATATAGAGGGGTTTTCTCAAATTTGACTGCAAAAGTGGAACTATACTTTAAGTTAAACCTGTTCATGTGATCGGACACTTCGATTACATTATTGATCTACATAAAATAAAAGCAATATTCTTAGGACTGAAAGTTGCAGAGCATGTTTCAACCAAGTGTGCAACCATGGCGCAATGGGTAATTGAGTATACAGCAAACATTTTGCAATGCCGATCGCAGCTATTACCCTACACATGTCTTTTACAGTATCTAAAACCAATATCTAAAATATGATTGCAACAAAGATCTGCGCTTATGGAAAGTGGACTTTATATATATATATACTGAGAGAGAGATTAGAGAAGTGTTGTCATGCTAAGACAGGAAGTGTGTTAGGACTGCAGAACACCTCTCACTCTCCTCAACTCCGTAGCATAGACAAGAGGTATTCTGAAGTCTGCAGGGCTGACAACAATGTTGGAGATTTCAGAGCAGGACAACACTGTGTTTTCAGCTCAAATAGAAAGTTAGGAGCTCACTGGATTTCTGGCAGATAAACAAGAATTTTTACTAATACATACACTTTACATTAATTTTGCATTGTTACTTAAAAAGATCATTGTTTTATATTTTGTTGTGGTTGTTTCAGGTGAGCCTGGCCTGCTTATTGCAAAAATCATGAAAAGTAATCCTTTTGCTGGATATGTAGGAAATAAGTCTCAAACTGAGAAGAAGATCATACGAAATGTACTGAAGAAGGGAGATATGTATTTCAACAGTGGAGATTTGGTCATAATTGACAAAGAGGGTTATGTCTACTTTCATGATCGAACAGGAGACACGTTCCGGTAAGCTCTTTCATGGTCTATATGCTCATAGTACATCATGTAGGCTCAAATGCAGGCTTTTGTTACTTTTGAGATGTCATGCACCTTATTTTCTTTACCATTCCTCTGTTGTTGAAAAGAGCTGCATGTGTATTATTATTAAAATTGTAACTGTCCCTACATTTTTTGTACCAACATTGTCACTAATTTTGGTCGGCCAGCTAGGCATAGATCAAAATGATAAGATAATCGGTAGAAATAATTAATTGAAATGCATTTTAATATTTATTCATACATTATATTTATTCCTCATGAGGTTTTTTATTCTGTGCTATAATAAAGAAAATGGCTTAAAGTTGAACTCCAGGATAAGCAAATATTGTCTAAATATAAAAGGCGAGTATATTCTTACTTGAACCTTGGCCCACTTTGTGTGCAGTAGCCCAGTGTGAAATGGTATCTATGTGCAGAAGATTCCGGTAATATAGACCAGTCACTTCGGCTCTCTCTCCTTGTGCAGAGAGAGTGGTCTCGTCTCTGCCACCTCCTTTAGTTTTCTGCAGGCAGCCTGTAGTGGGTGGAGCCTGCTGGGTTGCTCCCAAAGCTCTGCTCTCTGCACGGACTATATGCAGCACAGTGATGAGGTCAATTTTTACAAGGAATATCTAGGTTTGCAAAGGCATTTGGGACACACAAAATAGATTTATTTCCTTTGTGGTTTTTGAGGAGCATATTTAACCCCTTCATGACTGAGTTTGTTTTTAGTTTCTGTTCGTAAATGACTGACATACTTTTGAAATGTTTGCTGTGTGATTCTTCCACGTCAGCAATATACTTTCTTACAAAGTGCACCCACATGTATTATATATTGTTTTTTAGAGAACAGATAGGGCTATATATTGATGTCACATATGTGTGTCTAACGCCTCACTTAAGACAAATAAAATATAAAAAAAATATGAAAAAACATAATGAAAATACTTTCCCCCCAGTTTTGATTTTTAGTATTTTTTCAGAGAAATAGCACAGCTAAAAATGCAATGAATGCATTCAGTTATTTGTCCTTTATTTGGAAAAACCTCACATTCCTAGGATTTTAGAAATGTTTCTGTACTTCTCGGCCTAAATCTAAAACCTAACATTTTTATCTTTTTTCTCTAAAAGCTAAAGCTAAAAGTGGTCACCTGGCATACAATGTCACTGTCACTAAGTGTCACACTTAGTGACAGCAACATACTTTAAACATGACTGTCATGAGGGGGTTAATTTAGCTCCGCTACAGATTTTCATTGTAATGTGTAATTACATGTAATGATCTTTCCAACAACGATCAGAAGCCAGTGTTCTGGCGAGAATGCCGACCCAGTCGAATTTGTTGACCTGACCATCTGGGCTTGCATACACACTGGGATGAACGAGAAAACAGCCATTTATTTACAAAGTATTTATTTCTAATTGTTAATTGTGACTGTTCCCAATATGCCATTCATGGCTGTAAATGATGGATGACATGCACATTCACAATTAATCTGGTAAGCAATGACATAATAATGTAATTGCTTACAATGTTAATTGTAAATGTGCATAAAATGTCATTCATCATCTTTGGCTGCAGAAACCCTTTGGTTTAGCCCAGAGGTGTCAAACTCGAATACACAGTGGGCCAAAATTTAAAAAATGCTCCAAGTCGAGGGCCGGGCTGGTTCACACAGTATAATAACGTGGTCTATACAGTATATCACACAGTATAATACAGCGGCATATACAGTATATTACACGGTATAATAACACAGCCTGTACTTTTAATTATTAAAAAGCATGATACATAATTACAATAAAACATTTTTTTAAAAACTTTTTTTATTTAATTTCCCTTTAAGAAATAGCCTAAATATTTAAATAATAAAAGCCAAAAACAGACATTAAATAGTGCAGAGCATTTACAACAAAAGAATTTACTTAAAAAAAAGTTTTTCCATCTGGTGCCCGCTTCTGTGGATTCTTCCCCTGCTTTCTCTCCTCATTGCGTAGGGGAGATATCATTGGGGGATCAGGAAAATCAATTAGAGATGTTTTTAAAAATAGATGTATTTCTATTTAAATTACAGTAAAAAAAAAAAAGTATGTTGGGGGGATGCTCACTGGGCACAGT